GTTGAACTCTCTTCTTTGGTATCTAGAGATTATGAATTTACGCAGTACTTGATTAACTGTTATGTTTCATCATTTTAAAGTTGAAATGAATTGATTTAACAGTAAATCCCCTGCTGACAGTTTCTTCTGTCGCATTTGTCGGTTGGGAAAATCTCTTCTAGTTTCTTGACTTTCAGTCAACTTTGATCTTCAAAAATTACAATGCAATATCATTCGTTATCTTCTATTTTTTTAATTCCGGTTCTGTTATTGTCCTCTCTCCTAAATAATGTTTTCTTTTTCTGGCATTCGCCTTAGTGGCTTTATTACTTTGCTTGAGACGAAATGTTTAAAAAGGTATTATTCCCAGTATAAACCGAAGTGACTTCTTCATAAGCCTAAGAGATGGTCAGGACTATACTTATTGAACTTTGCATAAAAGCATATTTGTATTAGGTAGGCTATGTAATGTGGACTGAAGATGACCGTCAACTAAATAACCCTATACATGGCAAACTATCCTCTGTTCGGTGGAACAAAGAGACGTTCCAGGAAGAGGCAGAGAAACTCCTTGTAGAAAAACTTGATAACATAATGTGACTACAAGAAGGCATTGGGGACCTCATCCAGGTAACCTTCTTTTCTGAAGCAAATCCGAAGATCTTTTCTCTTGTCGAAGAATTTGTCGGCCATTGAAGGACCTGCAAGCGACCTAAAATGGGGTTCAAGAAGTTAACCAATGATATGAGTTCACACATCATTTGGTATTTGACAATTCTCATTGGAGAACAAGTGACAAAAAGCCACCATTGTCATCAAGATTCTTGTTGATTTCAACAACGATGTCTGAATAGCTTGCATTTCTTGTAAGAGTTCAACTATTTTGGTCGAGATCTTTCTGGTGCTCCAACGTCATATTCCATTTTTTTTTATTTCTTTGACAAAGTCTAGATATATCTTTCGATTGCCATTAATTTATAGATCGATTCGGTCTAGTCTTCTGATCTTTATAGAGTGATTTGTTTTGTTCCCAGAGAATTTTATTCTTTTTATAATTCTCTTCAACAATTTCGTACACTAACTATTTATTTGCATCAGCGAATCCAAACCGTTTGTAAAATTATCGGAGAATTACTGTTTTTATCGATTCACGTTTTCTTTTCTTCTTGAACTTTTCTGTATTTGATGGAATATAAGATTCATTGGTTACCACTCAGTTAAAAATTATATGCCGACCCTTATATACCACACTGAAGACTAGCAGTATCTGTTCTCAGCCCAAGTCCATAATACTTTCATATTCTTTTCTCCAATATCATTATCATTATAACTATATTGTCTGATGATTTAATTATTATCCAGTTTCCTGTTATCTTCGTCTAGTTAACTGATATTCCTGCCAGGGTCGTGGTGTGGGTTATTAACAACACTGTTTAACTTTATTTTATATGTACACACATAGGAATTAGATTTTTAAATGATAATTTCCTCTCCCACGCGACAATTGCGCATACGGGGATTAACTAGGACTTCATAGAGGATTTATTATATTTATTGGGATTATCGTGAAAATGGTAAGAATGTGATTTTTTGGTAAATAGAATATTACCAAATGATTGGGTCAGTGATTGTGACCAACTAAGTTAAAGAATAGGACAGATGACGACCAACCTTCCTTGCTGCCGCTTTTGGCCATATACGATATGCCATATTTGATATATATATATATATATATATATATATATATATATATATATATATATATATATATATATATGTGTGTGTGTGTGTGTGTGTGTGTGTGTATGTGTGTAATTAAATAGGGCAAATATTATTTACGAATTTAAATGCCCATTAAGTTATTGTATTCCTGATCAAGCAAAATTCGTAAATAATTATATAGGCCACACTACAACATGTTTGACACGTAGACTCACTCTACATCTTTCTGACCATAGCTCAATTAGATCTCATTTAAATATTCATGGAGACTTACCGGACACTATTCGTAACATGCTTGTTGACAACACAAATATAATAGCATCATCTACATGCAAAAAAAAAAAAAGTCTAAAAATAATGGAAGCTTTAAAAAACAAAAAAAATAACAACACTTAATAATATTAACTATGAACATGGACACAATATCATGACCATGTTTTGAAAAAATGAAAACTTTTTATAAAACATACATTCAACACGCTATTTCTTATTTAACAGTTAAAATATTTCATCCTTGAAAATGGCTAAATGTATAGCCGAAAGCGCTCGGATAAAAAGAACATTCGGTCAGTTTTGATATAATTTATCATCTGAAAAGAAAAAAAAATTAGATTGCGTGTGAAATTGTATAAAAAACTAAATAAAAGCACCTTGTCTGTTGTATTCAATGAAATGTGCATGAAAGAAGGATTGCTGCCTAAATACACAAATATATATTTTATCCTCCTTAGGTTTACCCATACGGATTACCTAGTTTTTCATCAATTAACTAACTAACTAACTAAACTATATATATATATATATATATATATATATATATATATATATATATATATATATATATATATATATTTCATCAATAAATATTGTTATCATTATATCTGCTTTCCCCATAGTCTCAAAGAATGACGGGTATAGTTAATTAATTCTGCAACTGCATTTTTTGCATGAATAATCCAGGCCTTTTTCTATCTAATTAACGTTATTGTCGCATATAAGAAAGAATGTTGCTTTTCATAGGATTAAAAGTAAAATATACAAAGGAAACTAACAGAAAATAAATATAAACTATATATTAGCAGTCTAGTCTACTTTCTATGTACCGATATGCATTGAACTATTTGAATTATCATTGTTACTCTGAGTGCTCATAGTTTCAACCGTTATAATCTTCGGCCTTCTTCATATGCGTATTGTTTTCGATAATGTACATGGAATTTTGAATGGAACCCTTTCATTCAAGCAAACGATTCTTTTCCCAGAGACGAAACATTGCTAGCTTCTAGCTGCTCTATTACTATTCTCATGGCAAATGTTTGGGCGAACTAGATTCCTTGGTTTCACCAGTCCAGTCCTACACAGCTATGACCCGCCAGACCATGTATCCTGAATCGACTTATCCTTATTCGCTTCATATTCCATTGGTAAAGATGAAATTTCATTCAGACAGCTTCCTCAAAACTCGTCGATCACTACAATCTTATCCTCATCAAGTGTAGTGTCAACGAGCTTTCTAGCCTACATATCTTCATAATAAGGACTTTTTGTTTCCCCCTTGTAAGCCCTTACAAAACCTCATTTTTTAAAGCTCTACTTTGAGTGGATCTTGGGCCTTGTATTAGTTCGTTCGGAAAAATAATATGCGATATAAGAATAAACTTTATTCATGAATGAAAGTATTTAAATTTTTATTTTATTTTCGAGTTTTATCTAAAGACATAAGCTTATAACTCGATGGCAGAAATGTATAGTTGTTGAGAATTCTTATTTTGATGATTCAGTCAAAATAAGAATTCTCAACAACTATACATTTCTGCCATCGAGTTATAAGCTTATGTCTTTAGATAAAACTCGAAATGTTTGGATGATAAGAAATCTTTAAATGCAGTTTCTGCATCTTCTTTTGAATTAAGAATTATTAGCAAGATTCTTGAAAAAGTGGTAGTCGGTGAACGAGAGATCAGGGGAATATGGTGCATATGGAAAAGTCTCTTATCGCAGGTCGGTGAGTTTCTGCAGTATCATGCTGACAACATGTTTGGAATTGGGCCTCGATGGTTAACCAGTGCCGGTGGCATTATGCAACTGAATGTGCATATCACACAGTTGCTGGCAGCAAACTACGGCAGTGACAGTCTGGTCAGATTCTAGAAATTTGTAATGCATAACGCCAATGGCGGACGAAAACCACCAAAATGTTTTGTTGGTCCAATATCAGTGTTTTTTTAAAAACTAAGTCTTTCATGATGATTTAGACATTGTTTATAATTGTCATAAAATATCCATTTTTTATCATAAGTCACTATTAGATCAAGAAATGGTTCATTTCAAGTTCGAAGATGCAACAACGAAGGCACTTCAAAACGTAAAAAAATCTGACTTTCAAAGGGATCATAAGGGACACCTTTTTCCAGTTTCGTTACCTTACCAATTTTCTTGAAATTGTCCGATACTGTGGAAATGCTGACACCCACTCTCTAAGACACTAGTGTTATGAGATGTTGTTTGCCAATTGCAGATGGACATCCCTTACCACGTTCATCTTTAATACTCGTATCCACACTGAGGAATGTCAGTAATCAGCGCTGCACTGTTCGATCACATGTGAATCCTTCATCATATGCTCTGTTAATCTGTTTTGCTGAACAATCTAATAATTGATGAACGATAGTAGGAAAAAAAAACTATCGATATTTCTCATTCTCCTGTACATACTAAGCAATATCCCCGGGTATAGTGGAGTAATGGATAACGGCTCGGATTGAGGATCGGAGAGCCGAGTTCGAATTCCAGTCGAATCCAATACATTCATTTACGTGTTAATATCCTTGGGAAAGGTATGAATCCTCTTCTTCTCCCCCCCCCCATCGGTAAATAGCAGGACAGCCGGGTTCTATAGCCTTTGATGACAACTGTTCTACCGCAGAAAGAAATAGCAAATTACTGCGGGAAAAAAAAATCAGCCTCGTCATGTATCGAAAGATACATGATCGCCTAAGCGTGTATCACGCATGGCACATGACTGACTGAATAGTTATGATTGTTAATATCTAACTTTACGTACAGCATTACTTTAGGCAAGAGTACGGTAGACAGAATCCGAGTGTGATGATGAAATTTAAAATAAGGCTTACAGCTGAGAACAATACTCGGTATATCTGTATGGGATTAGGAATAAATCAAATAAATCCTGCTTTCAGTAATCAATAAATTCAGGAAATGATTGTTAAGTAGGCAGAATGACCTTATTGAAGTCAGGTTCAATGGTTGGCCTGTCATTACGAGACATTTATAAAATT